CTTGACACATCATCAGCGCACGACAGCGTCTTTCCCTGTCCTGTGATCTGCTTACTTGACCTGATTCTCACTGTGTAAACATTGAACAGCATGGGCGGTTTGAAATTTTGAACAACGGATCAATATCATGGCACACGGATGTAACCCAAAAGTTCTCCGTTCTTCTTCTAACCCAAGTCGGAGTCCGAAGAAGCTCAGCACAGTGCACAGGCTCTGTTGCACCGGCGAGGATCCTGAAATACTTTGGGTATATTTTCAACTCCACATTTTGCACGGGCAGCGCTGTTAGGCTACTATTTTTGATTTCCAACTGCCTAGGGATTTTTTCGTGCGGAACAATACACACGGACGTCTGATCTCATACCCAGAGTCCAAGTCCACGTAAAAAATCCCAGCCCATACAGGGGATTGAACCCAGAGCCTCTAGCCCTCGTGCCTCGAGACCACGCAGACCTCCCTCAGCGTGGGCGATAATGGTAATCAATGTAGTTATAGGTCGGGAGTCTAACTGCCACATTTAAAAACTACTTGTCGTTGGAAGAGGACTGTAGAGTTCCAGCTGGGAAGGAATGGAGTAATACGCTTAAGTACTAGAGAACCCTGATACTGTTCGTCCATCACGAATGATAAAGACCACATTTTATCCAAAATAGTAATGATCGATGGTCATGAGTACGAAGGTGGCTGATTAATCCAGTATGAGCCTGGAAAGTTCGTGAGCAGTGCGGACAACAGATGGAAGCCGCAGCAAGTATGGGATTAGCGATACGTTTCTTTCTAGTCTGCCTCCGTTTCTCTGCCTGTGCAACCTCCGCTGCCTGGCAGGCTGATGCACATACCTGCGGGATGAACGTCATACAGAACATTCCTGTGCATCAGCCTCCTATGTTGCTGTGTTGATGCCAAAAGAGTTAGGAGCAGTTTTGAGAGTGTCCTTAAAGCGCTTTTTCTGTCTTCATTGAGACCTCGTACCTTGCTGGAGCTCGCCATAAATAACTGTCTTTAGGAGGCAATAGTCTGGCATGCGGGATAGGTGACCAGCCCAACGCAGCTGATAATTCTTCAGTATCGTGTAGGCGCTAGGCAGGTTGGTCCTATCATGAACCACAGTATTTGGGATCCTGTGTTGCCATTTGATTTCGTGCAACTTTCGGAAACAAGTTATATAAAACTGATTCAACGTTTTAGCATGGCGCTGATACACAGTCCACGTTTCGCAAGCGTAGAGCAGTACTGGAAGAATTACAGCTTTGTAAACCTTTAGCTTGGTCAGCAGGGACATGACATTTCTATTCCAGACTCTGGTATAAAGTCTGCCGAAGCTGCTGCTGGCCTTTGAGATTCTGTCGTTGATCTCGTCATCGATGTGTGCAAGAATTGAAAGTAAAGATCAGCACAGGCAGGCACGAGAAGCACACAAAACGCACGAGAAGCACACAAGACGCACGAAAAGCACATCAGACGCACGAGAAGCACACCAGACGCACGAGAAGCACACCAGGCACACGAGAAGCACACTAGACGCACGAGAAGCACACCAGACGCACGATAAGTCTTATCAATTAGCATAGGACTGGGACTATCAATCGCAGGAAGTTGATGTATACGTTTAAGGGGAAATTTAAGCACCTATTGGACGTGTTCGGAGTGCCGTGAAGATAACCCACATCATAACTCATAACTCTCTGAGATAGGGTCCAGCCCAGACAAATGAATCTATAGACCACATTTAGCTTTTGATCATCCATCTGCAGTGATAGTGGAACCAAAGTAATTTTCTCTGGGAGCTGGTTGGTAAATAACAGTTTTATCGGTGTTGATAGTTAGCCCGAAGTTGGTACAGACAGGTTTCAGAAAATATATCGATGATGTACTGCATACTGGCCTCAGAGCTAGCGTTTAGAGCACAGTCGTCAGAGAATAAAAGGTCCTCAAATATAAATGTTTTAGTTTTTGCATTAGCTCGAAGCTTTCTCGTAATAAACAAGTTGCCATAATGTACAATAATTTAAAGTAATTCATGGATCATCATTATAGGCATTGACAAGTATTGCAGTAAATGCCATACTTAACAAGGTGAGCGCAAGCAAACATCACAGCTTGACGCCATTTGAGACAGGAACGCTGGTTCCTTGCCTCTCAGGCAGATGCACTCCGACTTCAAAGAAAGCTCCCAATTAGTCGATTCTTAAGACATGCTTTTGGGTAGGCAGTGGGTCTATTCTTTTTCTTTTTTTTTTTGAAAGAAACTCACTCACGAAGAGAAATGATTGCCTATATTAGAAGGAGACAATCTTCATTCTTCAGTCATGTCATAAGAAGACACTGGACTACATTGTGATTTTGGGAAAGCTGGAGGGGGAAACTGGCGGCTATCCTCCGACTATCGGTCGGTAAAGATGGCGGCCGCAATATATCCTTTCGAGCCACAGTCGCGTGACTTAATTTGCGGTTCTCGGCGGTTTTCCGGCGACTATCTCCACCGCCACGTGTCCCCCATGAGGCGTGGAATGGGGATAAACTAGATGGCTAGGACCCACGAGCAGCAGCCGCGCTGTGCTCGTGACCGCTAGTGCGCAACTGACACGCGACTGTGGCTCGAAAAGATATTTTGCGGCCGCCATCTTTACCGACCGCAAGTCGGAGGATAGCCAAACAAGCAAAGGGAGACCGAGAGAGAAGATGCTGGACAGTTTGACATCATGGCCTGAAAGATCATCTGTGTCAGAATTATTATTTTTTTTAAAGTACAAAAAATAGAAGGTTTTGGATAGACATACGGCGCCGACTATAAGAAGAAGAAAATGTCAAAGTCTATGATTTAAAGATGTGTACAAACAGGACCTGAATGACACAGATAGTGTGGTGGTGTCGAAGGGACAGCTTGCTACTGGTCGGACTGCCTGTGGGGGGAGGGGGAGAGAATATTGATAAAGGAACAATTTTATTGTAAACTTGTTAAGAGCTGAGCCTTCTAAAAAGAAACTTAAATACATTTGATGGCAACAATAGCCCTGCAATCTCTTGCTCTAACTGTAGATTTATTTATTTATATTAACACAGGCGGGTCTAGCTAGTAACACTTACTATTGCCACGGGTGGTAAATCCCATTCTTCTATATAGCACAAAATCCCACTGTCGTCTTGAAAGACGGAATTGGACCAATAACAAATGACTGTGATAGACATTCTGAGTGTTTTTCGCTGGCACAGGAGCAGAGCAAAGATGGGGCGACCCGTTTGCTATGAAGCTGAAACTAAGACTACCAGACTACCATACTACCAGAAAGCAGAAGGGTGATCATTGATGCAATGAGCCGTGTTTGTACTAACTCTGCTTGCACTGGCTGTTGTCTAGGCGATGATGTGTATAGTGAATGCTCTTAGCACACATTCTACGATGACATAACTGGGACAAGCTGAACCCTACTTAGCAGTACGATACATCAGTTTATTGACATCTTATCACTTACATAAACGTCCTGTCAGTGTCCTAATATACAGCTTGCACACACCACATTACTCAGACTCCAACATGGTGGTTTCTCACACAGTCACTGACCAGAGTTCGCACAGATGGATCTGGTTATTCTCGAACTGCCTGGCTGGTCTTGGCTTCAATGGACGTCGTCGTCTGCTCTTCCTCTCGCAGCAATAAGTCTCACGTTGTCATTCTCTCGATCACTTTCCCGTCCTTTCGCTCCGACAGTCAACACATACTAACTTGATCATTCTCTCCAGGCACGGGTCGTCTGTATCTTCCATTTTACTTGTTACCTCGTCCAACAAACGAGAGATCACCTCTGCCTTGTGCGGTTACAGTATTTTGAGGTTTTGGACAACGGATCAACATAATTGCACACCCATAAGTGCGCCGTTCTTCTTCTTACTCGAGTCTGAGTCTGAAGAAGCTCAGCAAAATGTACAGGCTCTGTAGCACTGGCTAGGATCCTGAAATATTTTGAGTAGATTTTTAACTCCAAATTTTGCCCGGACAGCGCCGTTAGGCTACTCTTTTCGATTTCAACTGCCAAGGGAATGCACACGGGCGTCTGATCTCACAACCCAGAGACCAAAGGAAATTACTAGAAGTCCAAGTCCACGTGAAAAAAAATCCCAGCCCTTACCGGGGATTGAACCCGGAACCTCTAGTATTCGAGGCTGACACCGTGCCTCGAGACCATGCAGCCCCCGACTACAGTATGATCTCAAGTAGGGCCAGTCCAGCCAACCTACCTGCCTGCTCATTCCATAACACGGCTGTATGACCTGGGCAAAGTATCCACGTGATTCTCACCACCTGCGACCTCTTGATTGCTGCGACCCATTCGGTACGGAGAAAAACCTGGCTCCACATTCTTGAGCATGCTTTGCAAATCCAATACTATGACAACATGTGTGGCTGGGATTTTCTCCACCTACTGGAAAGTCGCAATTACCGCCTCAACCTCCATTCTCGTGCTGGATGTGGTAATTCGTATGCCAAGCTGCCCTGCCATCCTTCTACCCCATGCTTTTGCAATAAAGGCCCCATCCACTCTTTCTGTCCCTGGCCACTGAGCCGTCATTGTGTATATAATCACCTCTCCTGGCGTAGAATTGTCCTCTATCAGAGCTGTAAAACCTTGCGTCTGCACATGGCCGACTGTGGACGGTTGGTGACACAGTGTGTCACCATTCGGATAAGAATCCCCCGAGCGCAAGTCCCAGAGACCCTGTTCAACCCGCAGATTATATTTATGGCTCCGACGACAGCCGGGGTGGGCGCTTAAGAATAAAAAAAAATTGCGTCGCACACTGTGACGGGGATTTAATTGAACAATTTGAAAAAGCAAGCGCAGTGCAAGTCACAATTATCCGGATATGGCGTCAGAATATTGCTCTCTTTCACCGCCTCTGTAATGGCCGCCGTAGAATTTGAAACATAATTTTGAGCGGCCATTCCTCCAACTCATCGTTTGAAGTATCAAAACATTAAAATATAAACACGTAGATAAATTATGAAAACAAAGGTAATAACCTAATTTAGTAGAAGTATTCATGCCTACACCTGATTTGTTTTCACTATACAGTGAATATATAATGATGAGATCTTTAATTGATATTCCCGGAATTTTGGTTGGTGGGCACAATATAAACAATTTGCTTTATGCTGATGACACAGCCTTGATAGGAACAAGTCAGAAAGAACTACAGGAAATGATAGACATTATGGTTGTAGAAAGTGGAAAAATGGGTCTCAGTTTGAATAATAGGAAGACAGATGTAATGGTGGTATCAAGGAAAATAATTATTCCTAAATGTGTAATAAAAGTCAATGGTGTTATTTTGGGACAAGTACAGAAATTTCAGTATCTGGGCACATGTATAACATCAAATGGAAGATGTGTTACTGAGATAAGAAACAGAAAAGGAAAGGCAAAAACTACAATTTATAAAATGAAGAACATCTTATGCAATATATCTTTGTCATTGAGGGTTAGAAAAAGAATTCTTGCTTGCTACATACATCAAGTTTTAACATATGGCTGTGAACCCTGGACAATCGGTAGGCAGGCCAAACAATTTCTTGAGGCCTCAGAGATGTGGTTTTACAGAAGAATGCTTAAAATACCTTGGACAGCCAAAAGGAGCAACCAAAAGCTTTTGAAGGAGGCGGGAGGCCGAACACAACTAATCACAGACATCAGAAGTTGAAAGTCATTATTTTTTCGGCTATATTATGAGAAAAGGTAAAATAGAACATGCTGTAACCACTGGAAAGATCTGTGGAAGAAGGAATAGAGGAAGACAACGAGAGAAGATTCTTGACAGTCTTGTTGCATGGTATGGAGGTGTGTCAGCTCACGAACTAATTCATGCTGCAGGAGATCGCAGATTGTGGAGAGGCATGATCGCTCACGCCAGTCGACAAGGCAACTGATAATGATGATGATGATTCATGCCTACACACTGAACAGTCATTTACCGTTGGTTACGCGACTATTAAGAATTTTAATAAAAACACGTTTGCTTACACATTTTAAAATTTACTTCCCAATTCTTCTTTGGTAACTGTTGCACCTGATCCTTGCCGAACGTCCAAGCTGAGCTAATAAACTACATGATGTGCAATTCCATATTATATAACATTTAATTTTCTGATAGGCCTAGTTATATTGACCAGCATGTTTTAACTGAATCTCAAAACATGGTCACCACATTAGCATCATTAAGTACAGCGTCGAGCAGCACAGTCGACCATGTTAATTGTGTCTGATGTGTTCCAGGTCAGTGAAAGTTTTCCCACCGGTTGTGTATAGTAGTACTTTGGCAACCCATCTGTCAACTCCATGTATCGACCTCAACATTCATAATGTTGCTGAGCACCTGGTGTCATAGCCTGACCAAAAAGAGGATTGTCTAAGGAAATGAGTGTGCAGAAAATTATATAATCGCGTCATAGTGAATTCCCACTTGTAAGAATTTTTAATAAAGCTCCAAAGTTGCTCCTTGATGTCAGCTAGACACCAAAGTGACTTACAACGCTAAATTTTAGTTATCAAACTGTAGATCCCGGATTCTCCATTCAGCCTTTAAAAAATGTTTATAACTAGAGACCATTTCTGATGACAGATCTATGGTTTTTAAACTGCTCATGTTGATGTGAAAGTTTAGAAAAAAAAATAATAATAATATGTAACAACTGTAGAGTAGAGGAGTGACTTGTCTTTGAACTGAATAGCCTGGCATTACATAATAAGAATGATATTATCAACACTTATCCTGCAGCAGATGAATGCACTTATACCTAGTGACAAGCCACAGACGATGGAGGGTCTAGATCTTAGAAAAACTGAACATGCCGTCATGGAAACAGAGGTCAGTCCATCAGGGGTATATCGTAAAATAGTATTTCAGTACTGAGTGCTTCTTCAGTAGGAATATAGTTATACTAATACTTCCAGATGTTGAATTTGTATTGTATTACATAAAGTAAGTATTAAAACAGATATTATTTTATTTCAAGGCACATGCCATTTTAATTAATTTATCAGTTTGAAGCCTATCCTTCATTGAGAGATGGAAGGCAGAAGAGAGAACATCTCAAGAATTTTTAAATTGTCTTGAGATTAAAAAGTGACTGTTTTATTTATTTTAGATAGTGGATTTCCACATTTAATTTAACATCTTTTACTCACCCCTTGTTTGCTTGTTGCCAGAGAATTGGTTGTGCCTTATGCAGTTAATTGCGTGTGCAACTGAACTGTTGCTTACATCCACATTGAACTGCAATTCTAGTGCTGAACTGTTTGTGTTGACACTTCTGATTGCTGCCTTAAGATTTAATGCCTATGTAAGCTATTAGTTTTGCGGAGACTGCAGTCTATATGTTTTGTCCACAATGACAGTGATGGACATTGTGTGTGGTTTTCAGTTAGCACAAGAAAAGAGCATCCATGGGGTGACCCATTTGCAATGAAGTTGGAAATACGATTACTATACCTTACTTGCGTGCTTATTATTAAGTCTTCCAGATTTGTTTTGTCTCTCACATTTCAGACTCCGGGCTTCTGCTCTCCTATTTCTATGCCTTATTATTTCTCTATTCCCTCGTCTTATCCTCTTCCCACTCTCTCCGTTGAGACCTAAAGATGTTATCAAGCACACACTTTATAGCTTAAGTCCATTGGAATTGGAACTCTTTGCGTGCTGCTGAAGACGGAGACGGAGCGCGTATGAGGGTGTCCCGAGTGTTATGATGTAAATTCTTAATTAAACACTCACACTTCAAACTCCTAATCGCTGAGTGTACCAATAACGGTATGACAACCTGAAGCAAAGAATCACAGCCACTCCAAAAAAGCATTTTTCCTCCTTGTACTCTGGCATGTACAGGAATCAAATCAGTGTGGTTGGTCTGGCACTTGACGGAAGCGAGATAATTAATGACCGTAAACGGTATGACTCCATATGCCTGTCTAACCTATTATGACCTAATCTACATTGACATTCGACATCTTTGGCTTGGGCGTTGTGAACGTGCTCCGTAATGCCAGGGTGCTGGGTGTGATCCCAGCTACCGGCGGTTTGACAGCAGACTGCTGGTTTCGACTGTGGTATCCAAAGCCAACCGCTCAGAAAGCAGTCGCAAACTACAGAACAAAAAAATGCTGGTGTTGGTTCTGCAACATTCTGTAAAGGATTGGCAACTAACTTTTTTTTTTAACAAAGAGTAATTAGGTCTGCGCCTGTGCTTCCAGCTGCCGGAGATTTAGCAGCATACCGCTTTGCGTCGAATTTGACAAAGGTAAGTAGCACCAACCAGTCAGTAGACAGTGGCAAACTACTGAAGCAGCAGCCAACAAATACTGGGGTTGGTTTGCGATTTCCGGTAAAGAGTGTACAACTTACTTTTGTGTGTGTTACTTCTTCTTCTTTGCGTTCGGTTTAGAATGATCGGGTCAGACTGTCAGGTGGGCTGCCTCTGTGAACTCGCATGCATGTCAGCTGCAGGTCATTCATGGTTCTCTATAGCTTGCTCTGCACATTTTGCACTTGGGGCCAGGCTTCTTTTCGTATTTATAGATAGAGTGTACAGGTCTGCTCAGGTATTTGTGGTCCTGTTTGACATGTCTTTATATTATGCATGTGCTAGTTGAGCTTGCAATGTCCTGTTCGTAGACGGAAGATTGTTGTGTGTTGCTCTCTATTGAGTCTGGTGATGGGGTCTTGTGGATTTTTACTGTTGGTTTGTTCTCTCCACAATTCCTTATATTTTCCCTTGAAACTACAAAGAACTTGGTGTGTGTTTGTTGAGGTGCCTGTGTTCCAATGGGAAATGAACGGCAGAGAAATAAGAAGACTGTACAAGCACTGATGTGTGCATATTGTAGTGAATACATGCTAAATGTTGAGTTAGGAAACAACGTCACAGCACTCGGGTCATTCAAATAAGCACGCTGTCCCCATCTTCAGCAGCAAGCGTAGAGTTCCAATTCCGATGGCACCAGTGACAGACTGATTTTATATATATATATATATATATATATATATATATATATATATATATATATATATATATATATATATATATATATATATATATATATATATATATATATATAATTATATATATATCGCCTTTTCCTTGAATATTGAGCAACAACCAGGTCCCTTGGTCACTCCTTGCAGAACTATTCTCCTCAGACCGTAATGATCTGTTTGTGCTTCTGAACTATGCATGTAGTGGATGTAGCAGCGTTAATCATTTTATGTGTGTTACGTCTATCACTGCTGGTGCTCCTATTGAATAATTATTAACTTTTAAAACTGTTATTGTCTGTACGTACATTTTCATAGCCGATAGTTCTGGGTGAAGTAACCATTTAAATTGTTATCGAAGGTTAAATATGATTTTCAGACACTGTCATATGCGTCTAGAGTGGCCGTGGCGTTGGCGGCTAGACACCCGCGTGCGTGTCGGAAGGTTGTAGGTTTTTTTTTAAAAAATGACCTTGACTCCCAGGTTGACCCAGCCTTGAGGGGGTACAAGGTACAGTCCTGGGAAGTAAAGGCGACCGGCGAGATGTTGACCACATCACACACCAGGTGCCGATTGGTCTATAAAAATACAGGTCTGGTCCTTTATTACCAATACGTCTAAAGGCGTGGTAAAGGGACCTTTATCATATACGCCAGCGTGCTTTTTGTTTTTCAAATGCATAGAAATGGTGAAAAAAAGAAGCTTTGATTATCGGTCACTTAAAAAATGTATATTCTTTTTTGCAGGTTGATACATTTATAGCAGCATTTAAAAGTGAGGTAATTGATAAAAGTTTATAAATGTGCATGCACTATTTCATTATTTAATTGTGTAGTCTGATGAATAAAGATAGCATTTGAGAAGATTTTATTTTTGGTGTAAGTCCTATACGATTGTTTATGATCTGAAGTAAATATGTCAAAGCGTGCATTCATCATCATCATCATCAAGTTCTTTGCCGACGGGTGTGAGCGATCATGCCTCTGTGCAGTCTGCATCTGCGTGTATCAATTCGCATGTTGACAGAAGGCTGTCAAGAAACTTCTTTCGTTGTCTTGCTCTGTCTCTCTTTCCACTGAACCTTCAAGTGGTCACAATATGTTCCAGTTTCCTTCTTCTCATTACATAACCAAACAGTTTTGACTGTCACTTTCTGATGTTTGTGATAAGTTGTCTTCGAGCCTTCGCCTCTTTCAAAACATCTGAGTTGCTCTTTCTGTTAAGAGAACTATATAGATTCATCTGAAAAACCTCATTGGGATTATTATAATTATCTATAGTTTAAAAACCCATGATCTTGTACAAGTCTTCACATAAACAGTTCTGACATACAATTTTAGTCCTTTTTTTCTGTCTAGACACACGTTATTAAAATGTTGCAGTTTATTAGAATTTTAAAAGTTGTTCTCTAAACTGTAGTACTAGAAGTAAGAGAAGTGTCTGGACAACCAGTGGTATGCGCAGTTATAAAACACAGAAGATGTCATTATACTGAGGACACCCTGGGGAGAAATGAGCAGAGATGCAACAGACAAGCACTTTAATGGGAAACAAATGGAATACGGAATCAAAGACATCAAAAAGAAACCCTGAGATGAACACGGATGAGAGAGACCGAAGGTGCCGGACTGGATCCCACCCAGGATACTGAAACAATTGCAAGGGATAAAATGGATTGGAATAATAAATTATAGGCCCAATATGCTGAATAACTGCACAGTAGTATGATGTAATAATGTGTACTACTAGATCAAACAAAACCGATCGCAAACTGAATGATTAAATTCTGGCTAGAGATAATGGAAAAAGCTTGTGCTTGTTTACAAATCTCTTAGGCCTGATAAGGTGAACAGGAAGAATAAGGTTTCACTAGATGCAACTTAATGGGATGATAAAAGCATAGGAACTGTTTTAAAAACACTCACAAAAAACGCTTTCACTATAACAAAAGATCAGTAAGAATATAATATGAACTTTTACATTTCTATAATCATGTATTTCTATAAATCATATATTTCTATAAATCATACATTTATATAAATAATACATTTATATAAATCATACATTTATATAAATCATACATTTCTAAAAGTCATACATTTTTTATAAATCATGCATTTATATAAATCATACATTTATATAAATCATATATTTCGATAATCATACATTTCTATAAATCGTGCATTTCCTTAAATCATACATTTCTATAAATCATGCATTTCTCTTATATCACCAAGGCTGAGCAGCTCGTGAGGGAGACATTTCCAAAGAAAATGTTAGAAATTGATGAACTTTTCAAGGTAAGATGTAAGATCTAAATAGTATGATAAATAAAATAATTTTGGTTTCGTCATGCAGTTACTGATGGGAAAAACTTTTGTCTGTCTCACTGTGTGGTGACTGATAACACCAGTTCTGTGTTGGTTTTCTACTCTTCTTTGGCTACATGTTTAGTGTTCATGTCTAGCAGTACCTTATTTTATATGAGATTTTTGATATTGTGTCAGTATTGCAGATTCACTGTGCTGTCCATTGCTATTCTTGTGCCTATCGTGGCCCTGCCAGCAAGGGAGACTACTCCTTCATTCTCTTTTACCCATCAGCCACACACAAATGATACAGATTCCCGTCATAAGATTGTTTTATAGATTACAACCATTTTCTTCAAACCCAACCTCTCTACATCTTCTTAAGTATCTTATGGAATTAGAAAGCCTGCGTGTGAAAAAAAAACTGTCTCTAGTCAGGTCACTGTTTTGTTACCGCCATCTCTTCCATGTCATGGCAAAAGCACCGCTGTTAAGAACCATGAAAGCCCAAGAGTTTATGTCTCTAGCCAAGTCATTGCTTTTGTCACCGCCATCTCCTCCATCGTTAGACTAATTGTAGTCAAGACAAAAGCACTGTTATCAAGAACTTTGAAAGCCCAAGAGCTTTGCACATTTTGATTGATGGATCCATGAGTGTCAATGAAAGCGCTTGTATCTTCAGAATTCTTAAGAATCAAGGCTTGAACGTCGCCTCCAACACCAATGGATTTCGTAATTTGCACTCTCTGTCCAGTTTTATGCAGAATGAAACTGTAGCTTCTTCTGCTTCCGCATTTGGAGCCCTCCACTCATCTCAGGTTGGCCTTTGCCTCCAGTTGGTGACGCCAAGTGTTTGCAGGTTACTCTCGGATATTATCTCTCTATCGTTTTCTTGGTCTGCCTTGTGGTCTATGACCATTCAATTCCCTTGTGTTTACAGTTATTACCTCTACGTCATCTGACATTCTGTCAATATACCCCAGCCTTTTCAGTATGTTAGCCCCCATGATGCCAGTGATTTAAAGTTAAATGCTACAAGCTGAGAAAGGTCAGCACAGGCATGCTTCACTGCGAAGTGCACGAGTGAGGAGTCTGGATTTTTTCACAGGGACACCTCGGTGTGTTGGGAACAGGCGGACAGACTGGCTGACTCTACACATCTTGGTGGAATATTGATGCATGATAACGTAGACGTGGTTAGTGCCTTGTGGGAGAGCGTGTACAGTTCAGAGGAGCAGATGGATCACCACAGTGTGGTGAGATTGATGCAGTAGGGAGTGACGAGAGGTTCTGGCAGATGCTCGAGGCTCAGAGGAAAGACAAGACGGACGTTTAATCAGAATGCTACTGGCACCATCAGTCTCGGAACTCTTCACATGCTGCTGAGGTTGGGGACATAGCGCTTATGGGAATGCCCCTAGTGCTGTGATGTCGGTTCTTGAATCAAGTCAACTCAACTCTACATGCTGCTAGCTAAGAGAAATCATACAAAGCACTCTTATCTATGGAAGCCACAGTAGCATAGCAGTTGAAAGCTTACCTGCAGGCCTAAGGTTCATAACCTTTATTGAGGTTTAAATGTTTAAATATTGACTTTGCCCCCCCCCCCCCTTTTTTTCCAGCCTACAGTAGGTACCAGGTAATGTCCTGGAAAGTAAGGACAGCCAATGTGATGTTGACTACATTACATATCAACTGCCAGCTGGTCTGCAACAATTGAGGTCTCGCACTATATGCCCAATGCACTAAAGGTTTGAAAAGGATCTTTTACTGCAGTTTTTTTTTTTTTAATCGGCCATGGAATATGAAGCTTTTACTAGAAATCACGATACAGCAATGTTAGTTTCATTGTGATTTTAGCAACTGAAAATGTGGAAACCATCTGATGTGGACCAGACAATGGAGATTCCATACCCTGAGCCAGTAGATAATGTGGGCACGGACACCCAGCATAATCCATCGGAGGTAAATGGAATCACTTGTTCTGTCCATAGATATCCAGAAACTAGATGTGTTTAGTCGATGCCTTTTGTAACAATGCGAAATAAGAAAAACAAGTACAAGAAGTCCTATATTACTTACTGTTGGGGTGCGAATGTTTGTTCTTCTGTCTTTTATCCCGCAGTGGAAGGTGAGCTTTCAACAAGCTCACGCCAGTCTCGTCCTGTCGCGCGCGCGTATGTATATTTATCTATGTAATGTTATCGCAACAGCTTACTACATGTTTTCCTCCATCTTTTAAACCTCACTCTCATTCTCTTCATGTGTTCTTTAGTTTGCATATATTTCTATGTCCCCGTGGGTTCCAGCGTAAAGACTATATTGTGAAGTGTTTAGTTGTCATATATTTTAAACCAAGTTATGAGACTGGTGTCTCAATTCCAAAAAAATAATTTTTAGTTGGCTGGTGTCTCAATCCCAAAAAACCAAAAAAAACAGATCAACATTGAAGCGAGTTAATTTTAAGCATTTCTTACTAGGAAAATTATAGTTTTTTGTTTTTTTTTCAAAAACAATCACTATGATATTTGTATCATTGCTGGCATTGCTATGGAATTTTGAAGCAATAATGATTAGAAGTAAGGTTTTTGCTCTAGATAAATTGCCACTCAGTCAGTATTCAGCCTACCATTTTTTTTTTGTCCAGCCACAGATAGATATAAGCACAGCCCCCCCCCCCCCCCCCCAACACTTCTAAAGGGAAAAAATATCGTGCCAGTACTCATTCCCAAGTGTCTACATAAAGCTACGGTACTCACTACAAGACCGTCTTGCGTTGTTTCAACAATGGTATCAAGAGCCGACCGTCCAGTAAGCAGTGGAAAACTACTGAATGTAAAAAGTGCCTAGAAAAACCACAACAGCCAAACAGTTCTGGAGTTGGTCCTTTTTTTTTTTTTTTAACTCACTACAAAGGGTCTATTACAGAAGCGCTGAAGAAATGATGTCTTTACAAAAGAGGTGCTAGTACTGTATACCGTGTTGCTCACCGCCAGAAAAAAATCCTTAAATATATATGAAAAACACACTCATTTTCAAGTTTAGCAAAGAGAATTTATGAACTTGTTTTTCCCTTAGCTTCTTCATTGTGTGTTTTGGACATGGTAGACATTTTTCATTCATTTGCTGTTTATTTTGCTTTGTGAATTATTTAGTGAAAATGCTGAATTCAAGTGAAATTGATGTTGAACAGTCATAGGAAAGCCTAGGCGGATATACAATCATATGGCTACTGGTAACATCAGAAATGGAACTGTTTGCTGGCTGCTGAAGATGGGGATAGAGCACTTATGGCAATATGGGAAATTCCTAAGTACTGTGATGCTGGTTCTTAACTCAACTCAGCTCTGAATAATAATATTAATGTTCTAGAAAATATTAAACATGAGCCTGAAGTATTAATGAAACTTCTAAGAGGCTTTTGTACAAAAAGAAAATTCCGAATATTTTATGGGATGAACAAGATAAATGTAGGCCGTAAAGTTGAATGGATACTAGATTGCATATCCTTTACATGACGTTGCAGAACCAACCCCAACAGCTCCTGGCTGTTACAGCTCCTGGCTGTTACAGCCCCTGGCTGTTGTGTGGTTTTTCTAGGCAAATTTACGTCCAGTAGTTTTGAATGGATACTACAGTATGGTATTTTGATTTTCATGTGTTTCATATAATATTGGGAGACTAGTTTAAAATTATTCGGAAGCTGTGGAGCTGTGATTTTATAGATGAATAATGAAAATTCCCAGTACAGATTTAAAAAAAAAAAAAAGAGCAATAAGATGTCTTGAAAGAAAATAACTCATGAATTGATTGCCTACGTCAGAAAGAGACATTGTTTGGTCATGTCACTGTAAGGAGAAAACTAGAGCCCATTGTGACAATAGGAAAAATGAAGAAGAGGAGAGGCAGAGGGAGACAGAGAAAAAATATGCTGGACAGTTAGACATCATGGCACGGAGGATCATCTTTGTCAGAGTTGATTAAAAGTACATGAAGCAGAAGGCTGTGACATGACTACCAACGCCTCACGGCATAGACTTTACGAAGAAGAAGTAGAAGAATAATATTACTTGGGATATTTTAGTGTTTATAACTTTTGATTTATTTAACCAAAAATTCTGATAAACTACAAGGATAGTAGTTTTTTTACAATATGTTTCTTCGCAGCCACACAGCAGTGGAAAAGGGAGGATCAAGGGACATTTAACAGGTAATTCTGTAAACAATTTGTCCTAAGTTATAGGGAATTTTTAAAAAGTTTCGTAGAGAAAAACATTGTACAGAATTGTATATTTTTGCTTCACATCTGAACTTATTTTAACAATTTGTTTAATTTCTTTCAAACAGCTTGTCAAATAAAATATTCCCCCCCCCCCCCCCTTAAAAAAAATTTGCCTATCATATTTTCCTTTACAACACCTTCAGACATATTGGGCATATTTTAGAAGAAACTCTTCAAAGCAAAAAATCATTACCCCATTAGGATTCCTGGAAAAAACAAAAATCCGTAAAGGTAACAATGTTTACACAGATTACTAATAAATTCGTTGAAACGTATTTATATACATTTTAAAATTGTTTTTCAAAATCTATAATAAATAATCAATAAACGCGAACTGTGTCAAGCTTTTAATGGCATACATTCCCTGGGTTTAAACAACTACAAACAAAAATCTCTAGGGAGTGACTCCTGCTATGACCACGTAACCTCTGCCACTGAGGCTTATAAGAAAATCTGACGTAAGCGTGGCTTCAAAAATAAAAAGCCATTTAGCTTAAAGGAAACTCCCTCTAAATGCTTTTGTTAGTTAATACATTTATATCCTGACCTAAACTTTTGCGCAGGCACAAACTCAGACAGTAGCATTGACTATACGCATTGACCATACATATTGTAAACACGTCACTAAAGGCAAGTCAGAAAGTGACATTTAAGGGGCATTGGTGGACCCAATTGGAAGTGTTGATTGTTCGGCTTCTCTGGGCAAAAGGGTTAAGAGACACTGAAGACTTGTTTTGTTTAGTGTGTTGTTAAATATTCATGTGTGTCCATGACCAGGTACCCGTGTGTTGGTGTTCCCAGGAGGCAAAGTGTCCTGCAACAAGTGTGTGCACATGTACTGTGAAAAAGTGAAGCCTTTGATATGTGGTCTCATGGAACATGCAAATATGGTATCACTTTTTAAAACTTTTATTCCGACTTTAGACTTCCCTGTGTGGGTTCCGGGGCCCTAATGTGAGGAAAACAAGAACAGACCCACTGCATCCCCCACAAGCATGTCATAGGAGTCGACTAATTGGGGGCTTCCTTCGAAGTGGGGGTGTATCTGCCCGAGGGGCAAGAAACAACCAATTGCACACACAAAAGCCGGTAAAACGGATGTACACGCAAATCGCAGGCCCTGGCACGCAGCCAAAGTCCAAATGGATGAATAACCAGGACATTCCACGGGAGCTTAAAGCTGGTGAACAAAGAAGAATGAGAGTTAAGACTCGTTTGTTTAAAATTAGCTGTTCTTGGCACGTTCGCCTCTTTCTCGACGATAGTGTTCCATTGTGCTATAGGGCAAGGGGCATAGGAATCGCAGCGATGTCGACCCCAATTGAAGCCAGGGGTGAAGCTTCTTCTCTACAAGCACAAGGCCTGGGCAGTATTATACAAACTATTGTGTTGCTCATGCCACCCGACCCTTCTCATCTTGCTTTATGAGCTCCAAAGGAAAGGCAACTCCATTTCGTTTGGAACCAAGCGTGCTAACCAAGATTCTGCATCAGAAGAGAAGTTACTTAATGTCTTAATGTTACAGTTCTGCCTGATTGTCAGAGCTTCCCTCCTAGACCAGCTGCCAACCAATGTTAAGGGTTTGGTCTGCTCTACCATAATATTCAGTTTTCAGGTCGCATTTCCTCATCTTAGGATAAAACTAGTAGCCTTCCTAATGTGCACCTCTGCCTCAAACCACTGACACAGGTCAAGTTTAGTATACAAATTTAATACAAGTTAAATACACTTATCTATGTAAATGTAATTTGGTTGAGTTTTCAGTCAGCTAATGTGTTTGTTTGTTTTTTCCCTTTTTTTTCAAATTTAGGTAAAGATGTGGATAAATTTCTTGATACCCAAAATTGAAGATGGAAACAATTTTGGAGTGTCTATCCAGGTTAGTATTTACAGTTGCTTGCTTTTTTTTTTTTTATTAGTCTGTTCTTTCCCGTGTTGGTTCCGGGTCCTTTTTATAAAACAGACCTACTGCCTCCTCAACAAGCATGTCGTAAGAGTCGACTAAGTGGGGATATTTTTCGAAGTCGAAGTATATCTGCCTGAGATGCAAGAAACCAAGGGTGTGCATACAAATAAGACTGATCTGTACAACGGATTTGCACGCAACACTCAAGTTCTGGAACAAGACTGAAGTCCGAAGTCCGTTTGTCTATGCTGTGCAGTAATGTTTGTGTCTACTAAATCAGAAATGAGAGGAATATACTTGTATTAACCATTTTTTAAATGTATTTATCATGAAACCACATAGCCTTTCACGAATTGTCAGAAAACTGTAAAGGGACCTTTAGAACCCCTATAAGGAATGCGAACTAGACATTGTGAGAGACTCTCCCAGATAACTAACAAACAGATAGATCATCATAGTGTGGAGAGAACAGCACAGTTGGGGGGAGGGGGGGGGAGTGTTCAGGGGTCTGGCCCACACTCAACACTCGGAGGAAAGGCAAGAGGGACACATAAACGAACTGCTAATTGTACCATCGGAAATGGGACTCTACGCTGGGTGCTGGGGAAATGGAACTCTACGCTGGGTGCTGGGGAAATGGAACTCTACGCTGGGTGCTGGGGAAATGGAACTCTACGCTGGGCGCTGGGGAAATGGAACTCTACGCTGGGTGCTGGGGAAATGGAACTCTACGCTGGGTGCTGGGGAAATGGGACTCTACGCTGGGTGCTGGGGAAATGGAACTCTACGCTGGGTGCTGGGGAAATGGAACTCTACGCTGGGTGCTGGGGAAATGGAACTCTACGCTGGGTGCTGGGGAAATGGAACTCTACGTTGGGCGCTGGGGAAATGGAACTCTACGCTGGGTGCTGGGGAAATGGAACTCTACGCTGGGCGCTAGGGAAATGGGACTCTACGCTGGGCGCTGGGGAAATGGAACTCTACGCTGGGCGCTGGGGAAATGAGACTCTACGCTGGGCGCTAGGGAAATGGGACTCTACGCTGGGGGCTGGGGAAATGGGACTCTACGCTGGGCGCTAGGGAAATGGGACTCTACGCGGGGTGCTGGGGAAATGGAACTCTACGCTGGGTGCTGGGGAAATGGAACTCTACGCTGATGAGTAAGGGATGTGTATGGGAATGTCCCAGGTGCTGTGGTGTTGGTTCTTCACTCCACTTGAGTGTCCCAGGTAAACTGATGCCAGATATACCTGTTGTGTTTCAGGAAGATGTGGTGAGTGAGGTGAGATGTGTGGAGCATGAGGTGAGCACCTACCTGGATCAGATCTCTGTTTACTATCAGAAGAGAGGCAACATCATCTCTAAAATCTCAAAGTATCCCCACATTGTAAGTATCAATAGGTGAAAGGTATTCTGTTTCTTGATAGTCAACATTTTTGGTTCATCATCCGTCTGAACCGTATACGCAACATAGTACTCGCAGTCTAGTCCTCTGATCCGTTCTGTCCTGTGCATTATATGTGCACTGTGCACCACTTGGTTGGTTGGTTTGTGAGAATGACATGTTTTATGAGACTGCTGTAGCGGAGGAGCAAATGGATCACCACAGTCTGGTGAGAGTGATGCAGTAGACAGTGACGAGGGGATCTGGCCGATACTTGATGCTCAGAGGAAAGGCAAGACGAACGGGTAATCAGAATGCTGTTGGCGCCAACTCTGCTCTGGCTGCTAAAGAAAACGCCCCAAAGGGCTGTGGTGTCGTTTTTTAAAGCAACTTGACTCAACTCATTGCTGTAGTGTAACTGTTTTGTAGGGCGAGATAAAGGTGAGAGGATCGGCTTCATTGCAGTAGGTGTTATCCCCACATGGCGTGATCTCTCCCTGCAGAATGGCTATCCACCTACCAAAAGCGCCACAGCTTCTGAGATCTCTGTAAAAATTAAAATTGCACTTGTGATCCGAACGACGCAGTCATGAAACGAACCCACGACCTTCAGAATGCAAGGCATTTGGCTTGACAACTTCACCAAGGAGACCCACGCCGCCCCCTCCCTCGAGCATCTGGCACCGAGCTCATTCATTCTCCCTTCTCATCCAGCGTGGGACTGGCAGAGGCGGAGATTGGTTGCAGTTAAAAAAATTAACCTGCATTACTTGTTTATGTTACATGACACTCATATTTGACAGCATGCAGTGCTGTGGTGTATACATTGCAATATTCATGAAAAGCATAATCATAAATCTCTTCCACTTAATTCTATTCATGTTTAGAATCAGGACATTGAATTTTTTACATTAACTGAAATTCCTTTGTTAGAAGTTACCAAAGATTCTTTGAGATAAATGGCAAAGGGTATAGGGGCAGTTTGATGGTTGATCCAGAAGCGAGCTAGTCAAGTCTGATGTCGTGTATATTAAGGACAGGTTTCAATTGCTTAGAGTGATGGGGGGTTATGCGAAGACGCTGGTTCGATCCTGGGTAAGGGATGGAGATTTTTCTGTCGGAGCAAGAGTAAAGAATCGAACCTGTACAGTCAGTGGTGACTGCACTAGCCATGCGGCCTTTCTCCCCAAGCTTACAACCCTCAGTCCTAAAGTGTTCTAAATACAGGCTGTTGAAGTACAATAAAGGACCCTTTTTCCCGCCTTCAGGTATATTTAGGCACATGGGGCTAGGCCAATATTTTATAGACAAATCAGCACTCAGTGGGTGATGTGGTCAAACTCAAACTGGCCGACTTTACTTCCCAGGAGTTTTATCTGGTACCCATCTGGGAGCCGAGGTGATTTTTTGAAGAAAAAAAAAAAGTCCAGCATCGCCTGGATTTGAACCCACGACCTTTGAATCCGCAAGCGAGCGTCTAGCCGCTACACCCCAGTGACTTCCCAAATACAGGCTACTCTTGTATCTGATAGGATGACTACCGACAGCTGATCAAAGAGATGGATGAACACGCAATGGTGAAGCTGCAAAATGCTGTATTAGAAATGCGTAACCATTATGTAAGTAGAACTGTTGAAATGTATGCACGGAGAAGGTTTGAAAAAAATCATTTCGGTTCATTTCGAAATATTCAAAGATACGCGAGTTTTATTATTTTTTCGAATAGTCATATTTTTACTTAGGTTAGAGAGCCGTGCGAAAATGTTAATTGAAAAAAAATTGTCACGACTAAGAACAGTTTGGGAAACTTGGGAGACTTAGTGTTTAATAGTTTCAAGATCCTCCAGTACTAGGTTTCCATTTCCGCAGTGAAGGGTTAAATAATGTATTTAGTTCTCGCCTCACTATGGAAGAGATAAGGGCCTCACCAAAGAGAGACTAGGGCCTCACCATAGGAGAGATTAAGGCCTCATCATAGGAGAGATTAGAGCCTAACTGTAGGAAAGATTAGAGCCTCACTGTGGGAAAGATTTGGGCCTCACTGTGGAAAAGATTAGGGCCTCACTGTGGGAAAGATTAGAGCCCCACATTGGGAGAGATTAGGGCCCCACATTGTGAGAGATTAGAGCCCCACATTGGGAGAGATTAGAGCCCCACATTGGGAGAGATTAGGGCCTCATCATGGGAGAGATTAGGGCCCCATATTGGGAGAGATTAAGGCCTCATCATGGGAGAGATTAGGGCCTCACCATGTGAGATTAGGGGCCTCACCATAGAAGAGATTAGGACCTCACCATGGGAGAGATTAGGGCCTCATCATAGAAGAGATTAGGGCCTCACTATGGGAGAGATTAACTGCCCCTACCCTCATTCTTAAACTGGATGTTGTGATATCATATGCCATTCTTTATTGCACTAAGCGTTGTCCATTTGCTTTTTCTGTGAACCCCCATGCACTTTGTCTACCTCTCAACGCAGAGCCTTCTGTACAGAGATAATCACATCAGCTGGGCGGGAATTGTCATGAGTCATTTGTTGAACTTGTGATTCTGCAGCACCAGATAACCAGTCCCTGCAATCCCGACCTAAAGTGATTTGAACCCTACACAAGTTTGATTCTTGCTGTGACACTTTGACCCACTCCTCTTCTCGCACAAATGTATTAAGCCTGTACACATGTCTAATTGTGTCTTCAGCTTGCGCCATCAAAGATCTTTCTCTTTTCAGTCTGTGACCCTTAGCTCTACCCAGGGCTTCAAACTGGAGATGCTTCTTGTCTGCAGCCACTCTGAGATACGACTTTGCTTGCGAAACTTTGAGCCTATCTGCAACAGTAGTGCAAGTATATATACTTGTATGTATACAAGTACACATTCTACCAGCTATCTCTTGTTCATCAAAGAATTACCCGCATGGCTTCATTCTTTAAGCATTTAAGTTTTATTGGTTGACTCTTTGATTTAGTAAGTATTCCAAGTCATTAATCTATCACTGATAGGATCACATGCTGGAACATTGTAAACAGCATTCTTTGTTCCATGCCCATTGCTGCCTTAATCTTGAGAGCTTTGAGTCCTTTTTTTGGCATTTTACCGCAGCTGCCTCCACATGATCCCTGAAGGACAAAAGTCTATTGAAAATGATAGTTTGCTTTCTCTTTTGATGTTACTGTGATTAATTGTGAGGCTTAGAACATTGGTTCTTACAGTTCTGTTGTCTAGAGAGCATCATAAAACAGATTCCTTTTTAGAGCTGACAGCATCCGTCTCTGCACACCAGTTACATTGTCTTCAGTTGGCTGTAGCTCTTGGATTGTAAAATACAGGTCTACCCCTATAAGCTCAATACGCCTGAAGCCGTGGAAAATGGTCCTTTACTTATTTTATTACATGTGACAATCCCACAATTTGTTAGAATTTAAATCTATTTAGTGACAGTGAAACAAACCATTCTTTTATGTGATTAAATAGGTTATTTTGCTCTACACGGTTAGTTTTGTAGCATAGATAGTGCAGGTGTAAGTTTATTTAAATTGTTTCTGCTCATGTTTCAGAATTTAAACTGAGTCCTTAACACTTAGACATGTTGTTGTCTTATTTCAGGCTTCCTTGTTTGACATCATCATGAAAAATATAGACAAGATCAAAATGCCACGGTCACTAAGCAGCCAGAATATGTACTGAAAAAGTGCAATTGAGTCCAGATGATATGTTTTTATTTTTTAAAAGAGTGTTTCTTGCGTATTCTAAATGACACAATGCAAATAGTTAAGTCGCAACTACCCATTGTTTTTGCTATCTTAAGTTTGTAATTACAAATCTGTGTTTAAGAAAGTAGGTTACATCACCACTTACTGTCAGTTATTTGCTGATGCTGTTGTACATTTATAAATTCATATTGATTTTACACTTTGAAAATAATGAATTAAAAATTGAAGACATCACAGTAGGGTGAATACAGGGAATACAGCATTTAAAACTTACTAATGAGTTAATTTTCTGTTACTACCGTACACTGTGTATCAGTTCCACCCAATGATAACCTTGTTGTGGATTTCTAGTAGTTAAATAGCGCCACTTCTGAGGCACAGAATATCAACATGCTCAAAAAAAAGCAGCTGATAAATGCGCTAGTCATACCAACCTTGTGCTATCAATGCCAGACATGGACACTCTTAGAAAAAACATAAATGCAAAATTACAGCATGTGAGATGAGATGGGTAAGAAATGTGGTGGGAAAAACAAGAAGAGAAAGTCACAAATAAAGAACTAAGAACAATAGTTGGTACAGTACCGGAGAAGAAATGGTAAGGAAGGCGTGAACAGACTTCAGATATGACAAGACAGAGTCACTTTTTGGGCTCCTTAGGAGATTAGCATGGTCAGAGGCCACCAAGAGTAAATTCATTCAGCGACCATGTGTGTGTGTGTGTGTGATTGGTGTATGCTAGGGGTGCCGCGGCAAAAATCAAGAATTTTCACAAATCTGCTTAGGATCAGCGAAGACAGCGGTTTGAAACAGAAACACTGTGAAGGAAGCCCAAAGAGTTCTGAATGCAGGTGTATTCAGAAGATCATGCTATTGACAAGGCTACTGTGCATTCTCCACGTACGCTTACGTTAAAAAACAGATAAGGTGCAACCTTCAAGTGATTTAAGGGTACAGTTAACTAAACTAACCATAAACATAAGGGAAATAATAAAAAATGCATCCAAACAGTTTACTTCATCGCATTAAAGACAATTGAACATTAAATGTGCACTGTTTTTTCCCCCCTTCTTTTCCTAAGTATTCAAGCCGCTTTAAGAGTAGGTGACAACCACTGCTTTAGGGGATAATAAGGGACACAACTGAAATGAGGTGGCTCTTGGAAGGCAGAAGTCACGATCAGAACTGTTTGTGCTGACAAGATAGCACATGGCAAAGAATTTGTTACAGCAAAACAAACTTGCATTGAGTGATAAGTTACCTTGGACCGAGTGTGCCAGGAATGGATAGCTGGTGAAATATAGTGGTGCAAGAGCTGACTAATGAAAATTAACGCCCAGGTAACATCACAATATATACAGATGGGTCTGTATCAAGAGGTGAGAAGAGTTAGTGGGGCTTTTCTTGCAAAGGTGAATAGACTGCTTGAAAACAGACAATATTGTATAGTCATTATGAGAATGGAGGTGGAGGCAGTAACGGCAGCTTTTGGTGGCTTGAGAGCAGCACAGCCTGACATGTTGTAATTATAAGCATGGTTGGGAAAATTGAAACTGATGTCCTGCGTGCTGAGCGGCTTGCATCACTTGATGAGACCCAGATCAAGACCATATCATGGATTTTCTGTCCAAGGTATTCAGGTGCACGAGGTAACGAACAGGCTAATAGATCAACTGCTGCCGCTCCTCTGGGCAGTAAGCTACTATATGATAAAGTAGATGTGCTGAAGGCTCTATGTGATGAAATGGACAGTGCAAAAGAACAGATAGGGAATCCATACATTGAAAGACCAATTCATTGAAAGGTGAGCTGAGGTTCTGGGAGATATTCAACAATGTAGGGGAAACAGGCAGATTTTTAATCAGGTGGCAACTGATACTATCAGCTCTTCCCTGGTTACTAAAGAATGAGACAGAGCATGTGTGGGAATGTCATGAGTTCAGTGATGTCAATTCTTGATCTATTCATTCCTTCATAGAACATCATCTGGTTAGCATGGAACAAAACCAGCCAGCAGCTAAAGCGTACTATATGAGAACAGCCGGCTGCAAGGCAAGAGGACAACCAAGAATGAGATGGGCGGAGGGATACAAGAGACACTCCAGAAACACAATATGAAATTAACATAAACTACACAACTAGAAACAGACAGGGAACTAAACAAAGCTTTTCTCTGCAATGCTCTGTAGCATAAGCAGTAGGACCAAAGAAGAAGAAGATAGTAGTTAAAAATAAGGAAAGTAAAGGGCCTTCTTACCCCATTTGGCTGGCTGGCAAACATTCTATATACTACAGTGGCTTCCAGACATTTTGAGGAAAGAATAAAACTGTTTAAGGTCAAATAAATACTGCTTTTATTGCTCACTTCATGGGTAAAACCTTTGATATTTAAAAACTCAACTCACAAAAACATCTAAGATAATAAACTTGCAAATAAATATCATCATTTTGGTTGTGAACTAATTCAATGAGAAAAAGACTGATGTCTTTCCCTTAGAGACACTTGCTTGCACAGCAGTCTAGTATTTTCATGTGTTCTCTCTCATTTCTGTTTTTAAATGTTTCTTCTTCATCATTCCAAGTCTTCAAGGTTCATTGCTGCAGATATCCCCCATCTCCATTCATCTATATGACTGACTCTTTCCAGTTGGTGGCTGTAAGTGGTTACAGGTCTGCCTGTATATTATCTTTCTGAAGTTTTCTTGATCTGGCTTGTAGTTTTCTCCTATTGAACTCTATTGTGTATGTAGTTTTTGTCTCTGTCATCTGCCCTTCTCTATATTGGCCCAACCATTGCAGTCAATCAGGTCTTCATGATGCCAGTAAGAAAAGAACTCTTTTCCACGATTTTAGGCATACAGGGCTAGACCTATATTTTATAGACCAATCGGCACAAGATGGGTGATGTGGTCAGCATCACGCCACCCGCCTATACTTCCAGGGACTGCACCTGGTACCCACACAAGGCTGGGTCGACCTGGGAGCCAAGGTCATTTTTTTTTTTAAAGTCTGGCTCTGCCAGGGAGCAACCCCATGACCTTGCGATCTGTGACGAGTGTCTAGCCGCTCTGCTACGGTGACTCCTATGATGCCAGTAATTAATGGTAATTTAAACAGATTACGAATTTCAATGTTGCTTCTTTTATGTGTTTATGTCCCTTTTCAAAATGTCATTTCAACACACTTATCACCGTCATCTTCCGGCTGTCATCATGCATATTGGGGGGAGGGGCTTAACTGGTAGTCCAAAGCTCGATTAGTGGTACTGGCCATCCTGCTTTGTGGACATTTTATATAATATTGTTATTTTTATTCAATTACAAATTTGTTTGTTTCTTTAAATGTCAAGAACCCTTTTCTCTCATCAAATATGTCCTGAAGTGTAAATAAGCTAATCTCCTACATGTCATCAAGGCATACAGGAAATATGGGGTTCAACCCATTTACATCTCTTGTGATGACCAATTGTAAATGTAGGGTAAAAATGTCCAGACTGAGTCAATCACATTGTGGCAATGTTTACCCCAGAGTTATATGAGGGGAGGGGAGGGGGGGGGGAGGAGACTTTCTATACCTGGGCACAATAAGTATCAGAAAACATGTATGGCACAGAGTGGAAAATGAAGGACTAATCTTCATAGAAGCTAAAAATGAGATATGTATTCTTCCTCTGCGTTCATCTGAGATGTAATTGCATTGCGCCTGTTTCCAGCATGGCTGCAATATTTTTACTTTTTGTCTGACACAACTGGCTTCTTCCGGCACCTGTTTGCCAGGTTAAAACAAGCACTGGTAAATGCAGCACTCAGTTAGTATGAGAAGTCATCAGTGCCATTAATTATATCGTGGCATTTTCAAACAACAGATCTAATGTTACACATCAGAACCAAAATTAAATACATGCTTTGTGAACACCACATTCACAAATATAAAAAAAAATCTAATGTTACACATCAAACCAAAACTAAATACATTAATTGTAAACACCACATTCACAAATAACAAAATATATAAAAGAGCTCCCTGCTCTGATGTTCTGAGAAGGTGGATGGGAGACATTAGCTTCGCCAGTAATAATTAGAAACATCTACAAGTTTAAACTAGATTTTAAAGCAGCCAACAAAGACATGCATTAAAAAAGTGAAGAACCCTTCTCACGCCTTAGGCACATCGGGCATATGGGAAGAGCGCCCCATATTTTTACAGACCAATCGGCACAGGGTGGGTAATGTGGTCAGCATTACGCCGGCTGTCTTTACTTCCCCAGAACAGCCATCCTGGTACCCATTTTAGGCTGGGTCGACCTGCGACGATGCATTACGTATGCTCACAAAATAATACAAGGAAGTGAAAAATTAAAACAAGTACAATAGTTCAAGTCTTCAGATATGAGGATCAGTGCCATGGGCAAAGAAAAGCTGGATAAAGGGGTAGGGTGTCCCTACAATTTATGGATATACTGGAAATAAAGACCAAATGAGCTCAGACTGACAGCAAAATGTGGATTTATTACATCAAGTTCATATTCAGTTCACAATGCACATCAACCTTTGCATGACAGATGATTTAAATCAGGTTGAAGACGTTATTTAATGTGCCATTTGAATGAAATGTTGTTAATAAATTTCCTTTCTTGAAAATATTTATTTCTGCCTATGTGGCCAGACTTTAAGGGCACATGCAGGGGTTCAGACTTGCCTGTCAGTTATGTATTCTAAATCATAGTCGGTTCTTTCCTAATATCCTATCCCAGATGACATCACAAGACATCCAACATTTTAGAGGCACAATGCAGAAATATGCAGACACTTTAAATTCTACTGTTAAAAAAATCTACCAAGGCAGAGGTTTGAAACAACACTGTCCTGGACTTCCAAGCTGACCTTGCCAAAAATGAGTCCCACTGAGGAAGTAAAGATGGCTAGTGTCAATATAACCACACCATCCTTGAGTTTACATAAATATAGGGTTCTG